CAACTATGTTGTATAGGAGCAAATTTTTGGGACTTTTAAGGTCCAATTTATCCACAAGATGAATGTCGTATAAATGCGCGCATTTAGATGAATATGCATTCATACAAGATGGACAAGATTAGAAATGATTTACATCTGATAAAGATTGTGTGCAACATATATGGAGGATAAAATTACATTGATCTCCTTATGTATAGATTAATTAGTGTGCTAGTATGATGTTGAATGTGGTAAAAGAACGAGGTAGACCTAAAATCATGTGTAAGAAATTGTCTCTAAAAATTCCTCAGTATCAATACAAAACAAGAACAACACACAATGAAAGCAAATGACCTGTATACTGTATATCTAATATATCAGTTTATTCGGAAATTTATTTTATTGTTACACATGACATTAGATCTGGTTCTTGTGAGGAGCTCTTTTATTCTAGTTGGAGAAGTATTCTCATCATGTAGGAGCAAGTGTGAGATCAAGGGAATAAGACTAAATACTTAGTATTGGAATGAGATATGCCTGAATCAAGCAGATGAATAAATATAGACAACTCATACAACCAAATCTCAACTATTTTATAATCTGAAGCATAGTTCATTTGTTGAGATGTGTCTGGCAAATGGTGTAAAAATCCCCTCTAATTGAGAATTTTCGGTTCATACATGATCTAGCACCAACCTAATCATCTATTCTACTTGAGTATGAAATCCTTTCTTGATTTATTATGCGAGTAACACTTCCAAAATTAAGCCTTTGCACACCCTAGACCTATCAAATCTAGATATTGTAGTTGAATCCTAGCGTATGGTCTAGCATTTGGTGAAGCTGGAGGGAAAATCTTAAGGATTGGGATTTAAATCTCAATAGAGGCAAAAAATGCGAGGAGATTTCTTTTCATCCACCTAAACTATTGTGTACAAAGTTATCCTATACATGTTTTGGTGGAAGGATGCAGATACATATGGGAATAATTGAGGTGTGTACAAGTTGGTCTAGACACCGCCTTTATAATTATTTTTTTAAAGACTTCTAGATTTGTAGTTATGAAATAAATGTGTAGATACTGCAGTTGTTAGTCTTTTGTTATACTTGATGTTTTTCAACTCTCTGATATGGAATATCTGATGCCTACCCAGTCTTGTGCTTGTGTATAAAGCAACTTGATTGGTTCACCTGGAAATCTGTTTTACATACTCTTTCCGTCTCATTTTATAGGAAGGAGTTTGGGATTCGAGGGTCAACGCATAGATTTTTCATGTGTTCTGAAATAAAACTTTTACATATTTGATGATTACATGTCTAGTATATATGCTAGTGTAATTAATAATTCAAAATATTAAAAGAAAATTGATAAGTCATAGTCAATGACCAAACTGTTCGACTTTCCAAAGAGTGATAGTGCCACATAAAATGCGACGGCAGTACTGATGAAAAATAGGTACCAATGTGATCTCCCCCAAACTCGAACAATTTTACCCAGAGAGTTGGGAAATATGAGATCGACATCAGATTCTCTCGCACTGTTAGGTTTCTGGGACACATTGTCTAACCATGAGAAGACGATAACAATAAAATGACGGTATGATTCCTGTAAAATTAGATGAGAATTGTCATATTAATATATTATTTTATTTTGTATCAAATACTTTCAGGTTGTGGGCATCAATTGTGTGTAAGATGTGCTCTCTATCTTTGCTCGGCAAGCAACGTCCCATCTGAATTATTGGGTCCGCCTGGATCCATTCCATGTCCACTTTGCCGACATGGGATTGTTTCATTTGTAAAACTCCCAGGATCTCCTGCAAAGGAAATTAAGTTACATCTATCCCTTAGCTTATGCACACCATGCATGCTTCATTCTCGCGACCAAGAACGATCAACACCGCCTAGCGCACATGAAATTAGAAAGAATCGTGTTGCTTCAGTGTCTTCAGATCTTTTCTGTCCTGTGACTTGTAGTCCATTTCCCTCTGTTGCAATGCCTTTGTGTACCTGTGATGAAGGACCTTCTCCAACCTTGGAATCAAGAGAAAATGATACTCAAGAAGAAACTCCTAATCAGTCACAGTCGACATCAACGGATCAGGACAAAATGAATGTGAGATTGGAGAAAACTACCTGCTCGAACATGTTTTGGGGTAGAAGAAGCTGCAGCAGGGAGCATCAGTGTAATGCTGAGATAAATGCTTAATAAGCTCGCCTTGGTGCTGGAGTAGAAGAAATTTTGATCCAAGCAGAGCAGCGCATGGGTTCAAGGCATAGCATTACTACTTTCTCATGCTTTTGAATCTTTCTTGCAGCTTATATTACTCTCGCTTGCTATGAGCCAATGGATCCAGCACTCCGGTAGGTATCTTGAATACCTTAAAAGTGTGACGTTGATTATTTTGGACTCGGGGCTTGTAAAGAATTCACAAGTAAGAAATTGGAGTATTGCAATGGAGCATCATTGGAGAGATGTCTAATATTGAGATTGTTCTTAGACTATTCTTCTCTGTTGTATGTAGTGCCGCTATTACTAGTCTGGTTGAAGCAGATAAGTTTTTAACCTGTTTGTTCCAGTACAACCCCATCAAGTTACAAAAGATAGTTTTAGTACTGGTGGGATTTGTGAAGGTAAACGTTAGGTGTCTGTAAAAACTGACAAAGATAAAGAGTTAAATAGGGGAATTTGTGTAGCACATTCTGTTTGTACACATTTTAATGTTCTGCAGTAGAAAGTAATGTGTTTGGGTTTGTCATAATGCGGCACAAAGCAGCAACAGCAACAAACATCGTGAAATTTCACAAGTGAGTTTTGGGTAGGATAGTGTGTATATCGACTTTACATCTACCTTGTGAAGCTAGCGAGGATGTTTTCCGTAGATCCTTGGTTCAAAGGAAAGAAAAAAAATACTAACAATGAGCAGTAGATAATATGATAATCAAAGTGACAGTAATGTTAATCGAAAGAATAAAAAGGAAAATATACAAGAACAACACTAGTACTCTAATCTTTGATCTTGAGGTCATATTCGTTGTAAACTGAAATTTCCAACACCCAAAGGTAATTTTAATGTGGTCTATTTCTCCTCTTTTTGCAATCAATTTCGCTACAATGCCTACATCTTACAATATTTATTACGCAATTACACCTATCTCTATCTCTCCTCTATCGCACTATATCCAACTTTTACACCGAACATCTGCACATTTCTTCTTCACACGTTTAAACTATTTCAGCCTCGTCTTTTCCAGCATAAAAATCATTCTCATCTTATTCCGAATAACTACGTTTAGATCTAATCTTTTATCTTTCCTGATGCATCCACACAACCTAATTGAAAGCAATTGTTGTTAGGCTTTTGGCATTCGAGGAGTTTGATGTTAATTTGGAAATGAAGTAAATGGAGAGTGAGTCATGTGGTGGGGTGTCTGAATTGATTTTGATTGTTGTCATCTTCAATTAAACGTGACATTAGTAACAGTAACAAATTAAAGTTGGCCAATACACAATTTTTGTCCTCTTTATATTATTTATACACACTCTACTTCCTAGTTGTTTCTGTTATTTTTTGTTGACAAAATTAGAATGTCTAATTGGACCAAATCACCACGTCCTTTATTTATTCGACACGTATACCAATACTAATCTTTGAGTAAGTCTTATCTAAATTACTGTAGAGGCCTTAATCATTTGCCATTATCATAAGTCTTCTCACAACAAGTATAGTGTCAGTGTCAAAAGGAACACAAAAAATCTAGTTGATACGATTGTGTAAACTGCAGTCTTATTAGCTTTTTGTTTGTTTCCCAATCCGAGATGATTATTGCTCGGGAAAAGGTGTCTGATATACCTCTTAACTTTGTCATTTAGAGCTGATATACCCCTTGTTATGAAAGTGGTTCATATATACCCTTACTTGTAAATAAATGGCTCACATATACCCTTTTCCTCTAACGGAAATGAAAAAAATAATAATTTTAATGTAAATTTTTATTATTTTTTTCTAAAAAATATAATCTCATATGAGTTAATGTAATCCTCGTCAAATATTTTTTTTTGACTTTTTTTTGTTTCAATGACTAATTTATAATTATTATTTTGATAATCAAATTTATTTATGTTTCACTAACATTCTTGTAAAACTTATTGTAGATGTCCAATTTTTTTCTTCGAATGCGAAATTAAATTACAATACAGACAAAAAAAAATAATTTAAATTTTTTTCTTTAAACTAAGGAATGAAAGACAAAAACAAAATAAGAATAAGAAACTCAAATAATTATAATAAAAGAAGTCAAAAAATAATTTATGTATGAAAAAATTAAAATACCTTGAACTTTGATAGAAGAATCATATATACCCCCTAAATAATTTTTTAAAAAAAATTAGAAGTAATAAATATAAATTTAAAACTAATTTTTTAACTTCCGTTAAATGAAGGGTATATGTGAGCCATTTTGTAACGGCAGGGGTATATGTGAGCCGTTTGTATAACGGTAAGGGCATATATGAGCCACTTTTATAACGAGGGTATATCAGCTCCAAATGATAAAGTTGAGGGGTATATCAAACCCTTTTCCCTTATAGCTCTAACTAAATTCGAATTATGCACTTCAAGATCCATTCACGAGTGATGCTTTCAACAAAAATTTTTCCATATCTTAATTTTTAGCAGCTTCATATAACCGAGGACATAAGTAGTACTCTTAATAGGAAGGAATAAAGGATGGTGAAGTGTTGTCTTGCCGTGTGTAGTGTCTGTCGTTGTACAATTGTAGCGGTTGCGTTATGTTGTCTGTTGTGTTTCGATTATCACATTATATTGATGTTGTTACGATTTATTTCTTTCATATAGACTTTACATTGCTTTTCTTGTTAACGGTTATGCTTCCTTCGTTATTTTCTTCTTTTTTACTTGAATTTGATACACTTAATCTAAGAGTAAATAGTAGTAAAATCTGCTTACATTCATCGTAACATGTTTCATATGTTGTATTTATTTATAAAAACAAGCAAATGAGTAGGACAAACACCATATGTATATATATATAATATAATTGGTTACAATATGCTTGAGAATGACACTTAGAATCTCTTAAACCAATCAGTGAGGCCCTGGGGCAGTACTACTTTTGTCTGTGTACTTTGCAAAGTGCATTTTAGCTTATTTTGTGTGTGTGTGAAAATTCATCTTCTTCTGGCTGCAGTTTCTCTCTGGGCATTGAAATAAACAGCAGCAACAGGGGAACCCAATCCATTTTCCGCCGAAAAACTCCTCGTATTGAACTGATCCCTTGTTGCTGGTGCTCTCACTGTTTGCCTTCCTCTCTGTTTATACAACAAAAATACATAACGATGGATCCCAATTACCGGCTTTGGCGTCTCGTAGCACACTATCTCCCTTCCTGAGAAAGTTTATAATCAAATTATATCATTGTCTTTGACCATCTCAGAAATCAACTCGATAAGTAAAACTTACCAAATGAAATGTCAGTTGTACCAGGTATATCCGTCACAATCCTGATATTATATTATAATAAGCAAATGAATAACACATGTATTAAAATTGTACATTTAAATCATCATATCAGAGTTTAGAATAATAATTACCAGTGGAGATGTTCCCTCAAGTATGGATCACTAGGACTTGGAGCATCAGGGTCCGTCATGATCTTCCCAAAGAAAAAAAGTAGACAAACAATCAGACAACAAAAAACACAATGTACAAACATAAACCTCTGTTTTCATTTTATACAAACACAAACACATACGAGTGTATAAGCAGATCTCATGTCTTCGCCACCAATTTCGACGCGAGGTTGAGTTGCAACAACAGCAGGCATAATCTCATGGCCATTAGAGACTTGTTTTCTCCCATTGTATATAACTTTCATTTTCACACTTGGACTAAAACTGTCTACTACTTCACCTATTACTCTGCCTACTGCAAGTGGTTCACAAGTACTTCTAGAAGACATAATTTTTTTTTTTTTTAAGAAAATGTTGTATGTTGAGTGAAGAAATTAAATATATGTGGTGAATGATTTGAAAATATTGCAAAGGAGGGGGCTTTATATATAGTTTTTTTTTTTTTGGAGATATTAGTGAAATAAAAAGGAAGGTGCTTGATTTATAAGTTTAAAAGATTCGAAAAACCAATCAACGTGCCAGAAAAAAAGATGTCTACATACATATATTAAAAGTTAAACATGTTTGCTTAATTGTTTGTAATATTAACAACACATGTCTCTTGCTATAGTTTCAATTGTTTTCTCATGTCGTTTAACTTGATTTTAGCTTACATTTATGTTTTTTAATTTTGAGTGTGGACAAGTAATCATTTAAACTATTGTAAAATTGAAGAGCTAATAACTTTGATGGTCACTACTCAACTGTAAATTATTTTCACAGAAAGTCACTCAACTTATATTTTCAACTCAAAACTCACTCAACTATCAATTGTTCTCGGAGAAAGTCAATCAACTTTCATTTTCAACTCAAAAGTCACTCAACTATCACTTCTTTGCACAGTAAAACATGCATGTCAAATCTCATGCGATTTATCATGTATGACATGTGTGTCTATTTGTTCAACTTTATGCATGATAGTTTAAATAACTACTTGTGCCAATCAAAGTTAGAGGTTATATATATCAAGCGAGATCAAGTTAACGTGCACGTTCATTTATTACGTCTTTCACTTTCATAATGTAGTTACCATTTGTTCTCTTAATACATAAATGTATCATTTGACTTGGTCTCAACTAACATTTATGCTCTTTAATTTTGAGTGTGCACAAGTAATCACTTAAATTATCATAAAACTGAATAAATAGGCACATACGTCATAGATATCAATTGAAATCAAGTTAAATGACACATTCGTTCATTACACCTTTAGCTTTCGGAAAGTAATTTATCTCATTTTCTAGTTTCCATCTTTAATGAGATGATTACCTAATCATGCAAATTTATAAACTATATTTATCAAATATACCGAGAGTTTAAGAAATTACTCATCAAACATAGTGAGAGTTTCTGAATTTTTCATGTATTAGTGATATAATAATTTTTTATATTCACTCTCTTCCAATGATACAATAATCCACTCTGTATCTAGGATACAACAATTTATTTTGTATTTATTGTTGTATATAGATAGAGATTTTGAATTTGAATTTAACATATTCAATATTTAGGTTTTTACTATCGAATTCATTACACTTTTGATATTATAGTTTTGACCTTTAATATATTCTGACACTGTCGATGTGATTATTCAGTGTATAAGTAAAATTTAGAAAAGATACGATATATGTAAACTTACCTTCGGCTCAAGATAGTTTTCAAAAACAAGTTTGACAAATACAAATAGTAAAAATTGCGATGAGAACACTTAAAAAAGAAAAAAACTACTACAATGCAAGTTGAAGAGTACAATAGTTAATAATAGAACAATGATATTGATAACGATCATAAGTAGAAAAGGAGAATGGACAATGTTCTTTAATTGAGTTAGAACTGTGAAATTAGGTCTTAGGCCTAATTCACACCCTAAAAGCTAATTGCCTAATCCTCATAAGGAGTTTACCAATTTCATTAGCCACCGATGTAACACTCCACCTCACGTCTAGTGCTTAGGATCTGGTGCGTGATCAATTTTGATTTTAAGGGTTCCAACATCGGGTCTCTCATACCATTTGAAATGAGGTATTAGGTCTAACTCACACCCCAAAAGCTAGCTCAAAGGGAGGAGAATTGCCAAGCCTTATAAGGAGTCCACCCATTTCATTAACCACCGATGTATGACTTTTGTCATTCTTTAACACCCCACCTCACGTCCAGTGCTTAGCATCTGGTGCGTGGTCAATTTTGATTTTGGGGGGTCCCAACATCGGGTGAGACGGACCCTGCTCTGATACTATGTAAAATGAGGTATTAGGTCTAACTCACACCCCAAAAGTTAATTCAAAGGAAGGAGGATTGTCCAAGCCTTATAAGGAGTCCACCCATCTCATTAACCACCGATATAGGACTTTTATCATTCTTTAACAAGAACCATGCTCTTCCAAAAAATTACAAAAGAATTGATCAATTATTTACTAACCTTCCAATTATAACGATCTTATTTTTTATTTTTACATTTTTCTATAAAAAAATCATGTGTTCGATGAGTTGGAAAATGTTCATGTCACGTATCAATGCACTAGTATTTTGTATGTTTTTTAAGGTGCGGACATAAACTACAAGTGGTTTTTTTTAATTGGCTTGAGAAGAATGAGGAATAATACTTTCTTGTGTGTTGATAATAATATCCTGGACAAATGATAAAACACCTTTTGAGGTGCTTCCAAAATTTGATGATACTCAATTCATTTAAAAAATGATGGTCTGATTTAACTTGAAACGAAATTTAAAAAAAGAATTTTTTTTAAAAATTTTATGGTTCTAAATTAAAGTTATGTTAAATGTATCAAAATGTCCTTTAATCATGTGGTCTTAAACAAGCCACATGAAAAGTTAAAATTAAAGTGTTGCTAAAAAAGGAAATGAGTCATTTTTTTTAACCAGACTAAAAAGGAAATATGATCATTCTTTTTTTTAAACGGAGAGAGTACATAAATATGTCATTTAATTTGACTTCATTTCATATTTATGCCCTTAAAATTTGGGTATGCATAAATAGACACTCATACTTTTATAAACTTGAACAAATAAACACATGAATCCTAATGAAATATCACATGTAGGACGAAAATTAACACGTATGATGTCATGTATGACATTTGCGTCTATTTATTCAAATTTATATAAATTTAAATGTCTACTTATGCACACCCAAAATTGAAAGACATAAATATAATTTGAAATCATGTTAAAGTTAAAATATGTGTTATGTCGATGAAAAAGAATATCAACAAAAGTAGTACTTTGTCTTACCTTACTAAACGAGTCTTTGCTAAAAATAGTAGTGATAAGGCATCTTCTACATATTCTTCGACTACAATTACTATTATTACAAGTATAAATGATAATATTAAAAAATGAAAAATTAGAGATAGACAATCTTTAATAACTTAACAGTAAAAAATTGATGTTAATCTCATTTAGTTAATGATTACTGATAAATTTTATAGCTAATTTCATCATTATTTTTTGTTTAGAAACCGTCCTAATACTACGCTAACACTAATGGAACTTGAGATAAAGTATTTTATTATAATAAAAAAGATATTACTACGTTGTATGCATGAATTGAAATCATTATAGGTTCCTTTAATATCTTGAACGTATATAAACTTTGCCATAATTGTATATTAATTAAATTATCATATACAGATTTAGAATACATAAAACTGTTTAAATATTCTTTTTTGAAGTTAAAAGAATAGAGAATAAGAGAAAGGGAGAATTAACGTTAGCCAACACTAAAAAAACATTTTGATGCCCTATTTGAATGACACGTTGCTAACTTAGTTTTTTTTTTTTTAAGAATTGATATAATATTTATCATTTGAAAACCTCTTAACTTTATATTATATTCTGATTCCTCAATTATCTACTTTGTTTTAATTCTACAATTGACATGTTGCCTTACTTTAATGATATTTCCTGTTAATTGGGACTGCACCAATTGATGTGCTGCCATATTCTTTTAATTCTTTCCATTTCATTTTATTTTACTTTGATTTCTCTATCTTTTATATATCTTATTTAGTCATTTGATCAAATTAAAAAAAATATATTATTATTTTATGTTATTGACAATTATATAATGTAGTAGTTCAATTTAAAATTTTAACATATTACTAGTGATATATATTTATTATTATATTTTTAAAATTATTAAATCAAATCAATACGAGTCAGATAATATAAATAGAGATCACGAGAGAAAGTGAGTGAGTATATTATTGGCATCTTTTTCCCCTTATGATTAGTTAATCAATGCAAATGGATGTCTTAAAAAGACTCCGATCCCACTTATCATAAGTGGTCAAAAAAGGATTCTTTCTTACTACTAGTGGAAAAAGAGTACAAGAACATATGCAACAAACAATCTAATGTGTTTTTAGGGTATGTGGGAAAATATTGTTTTGACAAATATCATTAGTAATGTGTTTATATATAATTTAGCATAAATATTATGAAATAAAATAAAATAGAGAAGGGAGTGGGGATTCACAAATAAAATATACATTTTAATTTTATGAAAAAGGATCAAAAATATTTTTAAACTATCAGAAATAGTTTAAATATACTCTTGAAGTATATTTCGGCGCAAATATACTCTTACAGTCAAACTATTGAGTCAAAAATATCCTTCTCATTAACAGAATCGGTTAAACGTCAATTAGATGACACGTGAATGTCACATGGCATGCCACATAAGCCAATAGAATTTCATTCATGCCACGTAGACTAATAAACTTTTCTCTAATTTCCTCCAATTTTCTCTGTTTTTCGTAGAATTTAGAAACGATTTCACTGAAGAACATAGAACTCCTTTTCCTCATTTCTCCATTTCCTTTGAACGATTTCACAAAATACATAAGTTCTAAGGGAAGGATATTTTTGATCTTATAATTTGAAGGAAAGAGTATTTTTGAGCTGAAATATAGTTCAAGGATATATTTGAGCTATTTTAAATAATTCAAAGATATTTTTAATCCTTTTCCATTAATTTTATAATAATGAAAAAAATGCTAATTAACTCTCCTTGAATAAGTTATGGTACTGCTAAATATTTGTTGGAATAGGATTTGACTCCTCTCCATTTTCCTTTCCTCTATTTTTTTCAAGTTCTTGTTTGGATATGAGACACATGGCAAAAATAAAAATTAATAGTTAAAATTTAATTATATAAAAATAAGATTTTAACTGTGATTTAGATAATTAATATTTCATAAAAAAAAGAATAAAAATACCACAATCATAACAATTTATTATCTTGTCATAAATATATTATTAAAAAAAATCTTTTTCTTATTAGTATTGTCTTCTGTTTTTGTCCATAAATATATTATAAAATTATTTCTCTTTTTTTAATTATTTTTTTCCAGCGAGTATTTCTTTCTATTAATTATATGAGCTAATTTCGAAGGAGAAGTTCAAAGTTTGCTATCTAAGATTTACTCATTTATTTATTTAAAAAAGAAACTGCAGATAAATACTCGAAGGATTTTTTTTTCAG